TTTTTTTGTCACTAAAGAATCTTACTTCTTGTCCTTCGAGACATTCGTTATAATTGGAACGTTTCAGAGAAGATTAGCATGGCCCCTGCGCAAGGACGACACACATAAATCGAGAAATGGTCCCCCCCAAAAAAAAAGAGCAGTGCCACTTTGTCTTACTTCGTAACACGACCTAGTTCTTCTCAAAATTTGATGATAGAGATCTGATGAGAGCAGTCGGGACACTGAAAGTGACGAGGTTGGAATTTTCCTATTCCTACTAATCTAATATCCTTCCTTTTTTTTTTTTTTTTTTTTTTTTTTYTTTYTTGAAACAGGACCTTATATCCTTCATTTCTATGTATACATACTATACAATAAGTAATAAAATTAGTTTACCTTTACCATTAGCTTCACAGTAATTTAACAAAAATGTGACAGAAGTCACAGCATGCATCTCGAGAAGTCTGAGAGCACCGACCTTTCTCTTTTCGGACAGGAGGCGGTCGATTTCGTCCCTCGAAGCTTCACAGTCATCTTTTATCAGCATCAGTTCTGAGCTCCAGACTCGGCCACTGTTGTTGCTGCTTGTCCCCAACTCCTTTTGCAAGCTTATCCGCTCACCATTCTTCGACCTGGACATCGCGCCAGTGGGCAGACAAACAAAATCCAGGTGCAGATTCATATACCAAACAAAAACCACATTCCAGACCAAGCCCATGTGGCAGATTGGTATACAGTACTATACAGATGTAATTGTTAGCAAACAGATAATGAGTTCGACTCCTGATGAAAGCAAATGGGTACAGCAATGTAGGGGATAATCCTGCGTTAAAGGAAACAAAGAACAGAACTCCCAGATTCCTGACACCTCGTCAACATTCGCCTACATGAAACCGAGAATTTCACCTGCATACGTAGGCTACCAGCCGGGCCGCCTGAGTCACCTTGTTTGCCCGGGCGAACCGGCGGTGCAAGGACCAAAGAAGGTCCCAGCAAAAACAAAAACAAAACAAAAAAAAACTGAAAAAAGTTCAAAAGTCTTTATGTTATGCAGAAAAATAAACTGTGCAACTTTTGCCTCAGGGTCGCATCAAAATTCTTCACCAAATTCAAAAAAATATATAGGTGAAACTCCGACCAAACAGTTTGTCACAGCCCCTCGTTTGTTGTCCTCTTCTCCCTCCCTCTCTGCCTACGGTTTTACCGGGCAGTTCTGTTTGTGACGATATATATATGCCTACTGTTTACCGGCCAGCTCTGTTTGACGATATATATATATATCGTCAAATAGAACTGCCCGGTAAACCGTAGGCAGAGAGGGAGAAGAGGACAACAAACGAGGGGCTGTGACAAACTGTTTCG